CAGAGCTTACGGGACATACATCCCGAGTTCTTTTCATGGCTCAGGTTAAGCATCTTTTCTCTATGAAATATAAATCTCGAGAAAATGTAGGTAGAAGTTTAAACATTGTGTGCTAAATAATGGTCTAAGTTTTCATTCTTATGTTAATCTACAGAGTCCAGATGGTTGCACAGTTGCTTCTGCAGCAGGAGATGAAACACTGAGATTCTGGAATGCTTTTGGAACCCCTGAAGTAGCAAAACAGGCACCAAAATCAAATCCAGAGCCCTTCGCTCATGTCAACCGAATTCGCTGAACAACCACCCACCCCACCCTCTGCCCTGAGATATCTCCTTTGCACAAAAAATTTATTTGAGTTCCCTTTTTGTTTTTGGGAACAAACAAGAAAATCTGTTGTTTGAAATGTATCTAATAACTTGTATTTTTGCCTCTTTTTTTTGGGTACTTTGTTTCATCTGTTGGTCACCTATTGTGACAAATCACCAAAGAATCAGCATTAATAATAATATTTTCAATTTTTCATGCACTCTGCTTGTGGAGTTTTGATATGATATGTGATTTGATTTACATTGAGTCTGGGCATTAGATGTAAATGACAAAAGTAGCAAAACCAGTATTTTTTTCCATGGGTGTTGAATTTGTTAGTGTGATTGATTATGTTGTAAATGACAAAAGTAGCTTATTTAAAACAGTATTTTTTTTTTTTCATGGGTGTTGAAATTTGTTGGTGTGATTTTTGATGATTATATTGTGAGTTTCGTGTATAAAATTACAAAGCATAATTTATTCGAAATGATAATTTTTTTGGGTGTTGAGTTATGAATATATATTATTTTTGTCATTTACATTTTACACGATACAAACTTAAATCACTCGTGACTTAAAATTATATAAAATTTTAAAATCACCTATACAAATTTGTGAGAGGATATTAGGGGGACTAGCAAAAAAGTGTTATTATTACGTTATGAAAGTTTTATATGTTTTATGATACACACAAAATCTCAATAAGACTCATTGTGTCATGTATTTTGTCAAAAAAAATACTATGAGAAAGAATACAATTTAACAACTTAGAAGGGTCAGCAACATATACAATGATGAATAGTTTTATACTCCGTATGTTTTATGATACACACAAAATCTCAATAAGACTCATTGTGTCATGTATTTTGTCAAAAAAAATACTATGAGAAAGAATACAATTTAACAACTTAGAAGGGTCAGCAACATATACAATGATGAATAACACTAGTAATAGAAAAAGCTTACAAACTTTTTTTTATATTTTATAATACACACAAAATCTCATAAGACTCATTGTGTCATTTACATTTTATAATACACTCAAAATCTCATAAGACTCATTGTGTCATGGATTTTCACTATTTTGTCAAATATATATATATATATATATATATATACTATGAGAAAGAATACAATTTAACAACTTAGAAGGGTCAACAACATATACAGTGATGGATAACACTACTAATAGAAAAAACTTACAAATTATTTTTTGCATTCACTGAGGTTTGATCTCCTAGCCTCCCATATGAAAGAGTTCATTACATGTCATCTAAGCACAAAGTATTTGGCAAAAGCTTACAAACTTAACTGACTTAGTTAATTGGATTGGCAAGTCCCAAGTAGCATATAGATATATGTATAGTTTTTTGGTGACGAGTATGTATGGCCATGGGGTGGGGGATATATCCCCATTCCTGCACCCACATTCCCAACTCGCTCTTTGCATTTGTGTGGGTAATGAAATTTTAACATGTACTTTTGAAAATTTTGCAAGCGCGGGTAATACCCGACCCACAATTCTAATTAGTCACAATTATATACGAAGTATTTTTATTATCAAGTATTAAATTGATCACTTCTTTTTGGTCCTTTTGTTTATTCAAATTGACTAAATTCAATTAAACATTTATTTACTCTCTCAAAAAAAAATTTCTTTTTTTAATAATCTGGGGCATTTTAAATCCATTGAGTTAAATTTAGTAAACTTGAAAAGGTCAATAACAAAAAAAAAAAAAAAATGTCATATAGATGTTGGAAAAATATTATAAAATGACATTTTAAGTGGCTATTTTGTGGTACAATTATTAGTGGGGTCCAGTTCCGATTTAGGTCGGATTAAAGCGGATTTGGGTTCTTCGTAGTGAGACGAAGAGATTGATATATTGTACACTCAAAACGGATAATGGGGTGAATGAGAAATTGATTCTTAAAGTAAAGCCATTAGAGTTGGAAAAATAAATGTGGAGAGGCTTGTTTTAATTATCTTTTGTCCCACATTGAGAAATATTAAAAATGGAACGGAAATATTTCAATAATAATATTTTACACCATCAATTAAAAATAGAATGAAAATTAGGTAAAAATACCACTTCATGATTTCTATAATTGCCTCATTTACCGGGAAAAAAAAAAGAAGAAGAATTGACTGAAAATAAATGTAAGATTGTGTTGCTACATGGCTATAGATGAGGATGGACAAGATTGTGTTGTTACTACCAATGTCTCTACAATGAGGTTTCAATAATATTTTTTTTTTAAATGAAAAAATTGCTATATATCTTGACAAAAAATATATTTTTCATAAAAAATGAATTATGGTAGATAAAATACCGAGTTGCTATTAGAAAGAATGAACACGTTTGCCTAATTTATAAAAATCCTAACAATGATAAATAAAATTTTCAAAGTTACAACACCACATACGTACATCTACATATTAGCTATTAATTTGAGCAATTATTTGTTTAAATTTAAACAATGATAACACTAAAACATATAAACGATCCAAATCATATCTTAAATTGCACTATATAATACTAGTATTTTCACCCATGCGTTGCACGGAATGAATTTGTTATAATATATTAAGAATATTTGGGTCATTATACAATTATTTAAATTATAACATCAAATATTATATAGTGCAATTGAAAATATGGTTTGGATCGTTTATGTTTGTTGATGTTATCATTACTTGATAATTGCTCAAAGCCTCAAATTAATAGTTAATGTGTAGATGTACGCATGCGGTGCTGTAACTTTAGAGATTTATATATCATTGTTTAAGATTTTTATAAATTAGGCAAATGTGATCTGCCAATCTTGTGATGATGAGCCACGTCCTATTACAAATACCAAGAGAGTGGACTATGTTTCGCAATAACATAACAGGTGCACCGACCTTTAATGTCAATGAACGATGAATTATTAGGAAGACCCTACAATCTCAAACTATTTAAGAATTTAGGAGTGTGTATTTCTGATAGATTTTCATTGTTTGATTCTGTCTTACACAAAGAGTTACAAATTAAATATGTTTGTCCTTCTGCAGTATTCATGTCGCATATGTACTGATTAGTTTGATCAACGACATCTAAAGTCGGCGAGAGGATCGCTCGGCCTTCTAGCTGTGACTCATCAAGCATGTCATATCTCGAGCTTGGGAAGGTGCTTTCCACTATAGTTGATATGGGATCGTGTCCATACTTCAACAAAAACAGTGCCAGAATATCGATCTCAAATGAACTGCCGTTTACAACCCCTGCAATCCCATATATGATGTCTGCAATCCATTTTGAAAACCAATCAACCGTTTGTCTATCTTCCTCTGAAACTAAGGTCCGTAGTTTCAAGTTATTTGTGAACCTTAACAGGGCGTTTGGTTGGAGGGATTTTAAATTCCCTTCCCACTTAATTCCCACATAATTCCAAAGGCCATTAAATTTTGTAGTTTGGTTGGAGGGAATTGCAATTCCATGGAATTGCAATTCCCCCATTTTCATGGAATTAAAATCCCATGTCCCCCTCTGGGATTTTAATTCCTGGGAAAAAAAGATAGTGATGAGTCAAAATTACCCCTTCCTTTTTAACCTAAAATTAATGTCTAACAACAATAATGGACATTTTTGACTTTATACTATTTATTCCCTTTCAATTTCCATGTATACCAAACATTGGAATTGAAATTCCCAATAATTTTATTCTTGTCAACCAAACACTGGAATTTAAATTCCTACTTTATTCCCAGTAATTCAACTCCCATGGAATTACAATTCCTTTCCACATAATTCCCCCTCTAACCAAACGCCCTTTTTTGGAATATAAAGTATTACAACTCCCATGGAATTACAATTTTTGAGCAAAATATGGTTAAAAACAAAACCATATCAAATTCCTACTTTATTCCCAGTAATACAACTCCCATGGAATTACAATTTTTACAATATTAGAATATAATTTTAACCTAGAATTATATTACGAATGAGAAAGTAGAAAACAATATATTTTATCAGGAAGAGAGATTTTTTAGGAATTGGGCAGGAAGTTAAAGTTCAGGATTTTGTTTTTATATATAATATAGATAGTATAGATTATAATACGAATTGTATTACACAATTTTACAATATTAGAATAGAATTTTAACCAAGAATTATAGTACAAATAATGAGAAGGTAGAAAACAATATAATTTATTAGGAAGAAAGATTTTTTAGGAATTGGGCGGGAAGTTAAAGTTCATGATTTTGTTTTTATATATAGTATAGAAGTATATATTATAAATTTATAATACGAATTGTATTACACAATTTTATAATATTAGAATGGAATTTTAACCCAGAATTATAGTACAAATGAGAAAGTAGGAAACAATATATTTTATTAGGAATAGAGATTTTTTAGAAATTGGGCGGGAAGTTAAAATTCAGAATTTTGTTTTTATATATAATATAGATATAGATATAGATAGATAGAAGTATAGATTTGATGTTCTAATTTAAATAATTATATATGGATTCATATATTTTTAATATATTACAACAAATCCATTATGTGTATCGTACCGACTAAACTATTAGTAACATTAGAAAGAAGTCCCAAACATAGGGAAACATTTTACATTTAAGCTGAAATTGAGGGGCGAAAAGTGAATTTTAAATTTTTTCTCCCGCTCCCTCATAAGCAAACCCGCTCCTAAACCCCAAATGCTCTTTCTTCCTCAACCTGTTGAAACCTAAATGTGATTTGTATTCTGGGGAGTGAAAATGGGGAGCAGGTCGTGTTTGGCCGGAATGGAAGTTCCTATAATCGGCAGTGACGCCATCAAATGGATTCAGCTATCAGTTCCTTCGTCTGCTTCTACTCCGGCCGAGGCCGCCGCCGTGCTGCCGGACCATCTCAACAGAGATACCGCCTCCTACGCCGTATTTGGAAACCCTCCCACCTATCTAATTTGGTAAGTTTTCATATTTCACACACACATTTATGCATGTTAGTGCTGCATATTTTAGGTATGTGAAGGAACTGCACTACTGCAGTAGAATGCGGTTAATGTTACTGATTTGTGTTGTTTTGATTGCTAGTCTTTTTGAGCTTCTAGGGACTGTGGTTGGGATTATCTGTAGTTTGGATTTCATATTTTAATTGATATCTATTATGCATTGTACTATTATAGCAGAATAATGGTGTTAAGCAAATTATCCTTCATCTTCAGCAGTTGACCTTCTTCATTTTTATCTATAGTTGTAATCTAAACTTGGGCAGAGTAGTTTAGAATACTTGAATGCTAATTATCTGAAATTTTCATTTAACTTTGTGTGTGTTGTAAGGCGGGTAGCATAGCAATGCACAGGCTTTCTCTCTCTTTCTTTCTTAAAGAGATTGGTTTCGAAGCCTTTTTGGCTTTCTTCCCTGGGATTAAGTTCTTAATTGGTGAAAGTTGTTACTTGAATCTTATTGGCTTTTTGAGCTCTCATTTTTATCTCTGGTTTTCATTTAATTTTAATTCATTAAGTGTTAACTGACATCAACTTCAAAATGAAATCACACTTTCACATGTTCTCTAGTTGTATGTTAGCTTTGTTATGAAATGTATACTTACTTTGGAAATCTTAACCCATAAAATATTTACATTATAGGGTCAACTGGGTCTAGGGCACCTAAATAAATTGATATGGTTAAAATGTTAATTTATATAATCCTGCAATATTTATATTTTAAACTGAACCTCTATTAAGAATTTAAGATGTTTGTGCGAGGGCTTTTTCATAGTTTTCTTACTTCAAACTCTAATAAAATTGACATTGATACTTGTGCTACAGGAGAATTAACAAGAGTCAGGCAAATGTTGTAGAGATAATGCAGCTAAATGATGATAAAGAGTTTCCAAATATTGGACTGCAGATTGTATTCCCAGATGCACTTTTTCCCTTTACTCTGATATGTGAAAATCAGGTTACCCTATTTTCAGCTAGTTCTAACATTTTTATTGTCTTGATCACTAAATTTCTGGTAGTGAGTTTAATGGAATTAAAATTATTCTCTTTGACAGGCTAATCTTTTGACTGGGGGACATTTCACACTTAATGCTTTGACAATCTCAGGGGTTGCTTACCTTATTAAACTTAAAGATGTTTCTACCTATATATCTAGTTCTGTTTTGCCATCTAGTGAGGTTATTGAGTGCAATGCACAAATGAATCCTCATCATGGAGCAATAACGGCAGTCGCAGCAACAGCAGGGTCTATAGTAGTTGGCAGGAATGATGGATCTGTCAGCTGTTTCCAACTTGGCGTGGTCGAACCTAGTGCTCCAGGTTAAAAATAATTGTCATTCTATTGTTATTTTTGTTTGTTCTATATGCAATTATGTATGGTTGTTGCTAGTATTGGGACATTATATGTGTATAGCTTGGGCTTGATATTTTGTCTCCTAGTATTGCTGCTTGATATTTTGTCTCCTAGTATTGCTGGTATGCCATGCCTTTATGCCTTTTTCTTATGGTTCTTACTAGTTCTGCTGTTCTGCCCATATTGCTTGGGGTTAAAACTTGTCTTCCTAGTAATTAATGTAATTTACATTTGAAAAAAGAGAGTTTAAACATTTACTGACTGGTCCTTTCAAGTATTGGACCCATTGCTATGATTGAGTTTTTGGGTATTGGTTCCGGGCGCTTGAAATTTCAGTAATGTTTTACACTTTTAAGTATTGATCTTTTATCATACTATAATAATGTTTCAGTCTAACACCTTTTCCCTCTGGTAGGTTTTGTATATGAGCTTCGTGATGATGCTGGCTTTGGTCGTTTATGGGGCATAATGTCCAGGTAATTATAGTTATATTATGAATGATGCTTGATGTCAATTGTAATTAAACAACACTATTGTGCTCTTTTATTTCTTATCTCATCATAAATGTTCTGTGCAGAGTTGCCTTTATAATAGTAATGGCTACTTATTTATCCATTGCTTTCATTGTCTTTATTCTTTTTCCCCTTTGAAGGGTTTGTTTCTTTAAGAACCTTTTATCTTATAGAATGTAGTTGATTCCTTTGCATTATTATTTGTATTGGAGCATTATTAGAAAAATGAACTGGATATATATATATATATATATATATATATATATATATATATATATATTGCAACATTTATTTTGAAAGATTCAATGATGCTACAGTGAGATGAATCTTTATGTGTTATTTTTAAAAAATAAATTTCTTATTGTTATTTTTAATTTTTAATTATATGAATGTTTTGAGTTGTTTATTCATTTTTCCCAGAGTTTTATTTTATTTAAGGTGTTTACATTTTCTCTTGTATTTTGGAGTAAAACCAATCTCCTTTAGAAATTTAAGAAACCAGTGTAGAGATCTTCATTGAGGGAAGCTTTGTTATAATCCTCTTAGGTAATTTCTTTGAGATAATGATATATAGTGCTTGTATTGATTCAATTAATATTCAGGAGAGGTTACAACTTGGAGATCTAAAACATTTCAGGTTCAGTTGAAAGTAAACACAGAATAAAATGAAACACATTGTACTCATCAGTAATGGCTATAAAACAAATTTGTGATGCTGAGTCCTGTAAACTGAGGGCTAAAGATTTAAAGATTTCTTAACATGTATATATACTAGAAACTTAGAAAGTGATTAAACTAAATTTAAGGCCACATCATTGCCTTGGACATTGGCATTTTGTAGACATGAGGATACATGTTAGAAAATTCAAGGGGTCGTTTACTAACTTGGAAAAATGGAGGATTTTCTGGAAAAATAGAAAATTGGAGAAGTGAAAAAAGGAAAATTGAAAAACATGTTTACTAAATTTATGTCTCCAATTTTAATCTCTATCTCCATTCTTCCACTTTCTATACAATTTTGGAGAAAGGAGAATTACACTTCTCCAAATGGAAGAATGGAGGAAAACACGCGTGAACAGTATCTTTACGAAAGGTCTCCAGTTCGAAACCTGCTAAGGTGCGCCTTGGTTTAATTTTCTTTTCTCTTCAGCCATTTCACCTAATGGCCTTGCTGTGCGCCTAGATGCCTAATGGCCTTGCTGTGCGCCTAATTTTATTAATATATAATAATAATAATAATTATTATTATTAGCTTCAGCTTTTTAGCTTCTTTTACAGTTTATTATTATTATTATTATTATTATTATTATTATTATTATTATTATTATTATTATTATTAGCCTCTTCTTCATAATAATAATAATATTATTATTATTATGGTTGTTGTTGTTATTATTTTTGTTATAAAAATGTACAAATAATATATGAGATGATTGTACTTAATAAATAGAAAATTAGATAAATGAAAAATTAGAGAAATGGGGAATTGAAAGAATAGAGAAGAAAAATTGAAGAAATGGAAAACTGAAAGAATGGAGAAGAAAAATTGGAGAAATGGAAAACTGGAAGAATGGAGAAGAAAAATTGGAGAAATGGAGAAATGGAAAATTGGAAATGGAAAAACAGAGAAATGAAGTAAACGACCCCCAAAATTTCTGTAGTATTTTCGTTTTAAAGTATATTTTTATAGGACAATACAAGTCCAGTTCAATGGCCATGTTTGTCCCATTATCTGAACAGAATTTGAAAATGATTCTTACATGTTTGAACTAAGTTTTCATGACATTTTTCAATGGACCATTTTCATTCTATAATTCTCTTTGGTATTTCATATCACTTTCTGTTAGGTGTTTGTGTGTGTGTGTGTGTGTGGTGTATACTTGCCACTTGATTAATTAAAATTGGGTCTTTGTCTTGTCATGTCCTCTTTTCCGGAATTGCCTATCTTCATGCCCGTGTCAGCCTGCCTGTTTCCTTGCTTCATCATGTATAGACAACAGGCAATGAATCTTTTTTGTGAATCAATCTAACCTCTGTTTCTGCTTCATAAAAGCAACTACATTTCCTCATTCAATATTTTAAAACTAAAAGAGAGTTCACTGTAATTTACCTTTATTTGTTTTAGTTGGCATTTGGAAGTTAAGATACTGTTATGTATTTTATAACAGGATATAGTATCTTGCTGAGAAATGGACATCTAGACCTTATCTATGCTGTTAACAACAACACAATAATGACATGCTGTCTTGTTATATGCATGTCATCTCTCATCTTAATTTGCATTCCTGCCATTCCATTACCAAGAATACCAAGGGGTTGTCATGTGCTTCTGAATCTTAATGGCATCTTGTCAACAGACTTCTGAACATTCATAGCAATCTTATGCAATCATGTGTTTCAATAATATTCCCAAAGAACATTACTTCCCTGGTAACTACTGTTGCTTGTTTGCATTGGAAGGACATATGATTTTTCTATTCCATATCCTGTTTGCTCTCTATCTTATTCAACAGCTTGTTTTGTCATCCACTGGCAAGATATATAGTGATCACTATTACCATCTTTTATTCTTTTTGCATTGGAAAGATGTATAGCTTTTAAGTTGCATATGTTGTATGATTTTTGCTTATTGAACAACTTGTTTCATCATTCAGGAGCAGGACAGTTGCTGCAGTGCAGGATTTAGTAATATCAGAGCTGTGTCAGAAAAAACTTCTTTTTGTGCTCCACTCTGATGGAATATTACGGGTGTGGCACCTTTCAAATCGCTCCAAAGTTTTGACTCATAATATGACTGGTAAACTTTCCTGTTTTGCATCATCTTAAATGATCATTTACTTGATCCATTAAGAAATTCGCTTAGTCATTGTTGGTTCTGACATATTTTCTGTATATTTTTGAAACTGCCTCCACAGAGACAACATCTGTAAGATTATGGGTGGGAAAGGAATCAAAGGATGATAGTGATACTAATATAATTCCACTGGCAGTGTTACAGAAACATCATATGGTGAGTATCAATTAAAAATGTTCCATTGGTATGTATCCTGCAATTTTCCCCTATTTATGCTCATGCAATTTTCCCACAGTCAATTTTCCAATGGATCCTCAGGTTTTCCCCTATTTATGCTTACAATGGTTTGACATTGATGTTTATGTTCTTCCGTTTTCCCTTTGTCAAGGAAGTTGGCATGGAGATACTCTCTCTATATACCCTTTCATTTAGTGTCGAGGACAGGATTGATTTGTCCTTGCAACCTTCAACTCAAAGTATCCCTTTTGAGAAGGTAATAATTAGCTATCCTTCTGTTTTTTTGTCCTTGTAATTCTTTTTCTATTAAGATTTAAGGCCAACTTGAGATATATTTGATTAAAATTATATGGGTACTGCCAGGGTGGCCTTATTGATCTGAGACTTACTCAAAACAAGTTATGGATGCTTAAAGAAGATGGATTGGTAATGCGAGAGTTATTTTATGAAAATATGGGAGAGTAAGTTGATCACCCTCATCGTGGTGCCAGAATATATATTACCAATTTTTGGTTCCTGTTTCTCCTTTCTGTATTCCTTTGCTTCATTATGGAAGAGTAACATGAGAGTTATTTTATGAACATATGGAAGATTAAGTTCGTCTGGTATGAGAATATATATTAACTATTTTAGGGTGTGTTTGGAAACCCGGAAAATGATTTCTGGAAATCATTTTCCGGGTTTCTAGTGTTTGGAAAGAAGGAAAATTAAAAGTCAATGGAAAATGTTCTCTTGGTCAATGGAAAATGAGTCCCTTTTTCAGGAAAATGACTTCCCCTTTTTTTGAGGGGAAGTCATTTTCCATCTTCCAATCTAAACATACACGCAGCAAAGCCTTCACAGCTTCTTCTCCCAACTTCACCTCCTCCTTCAACATTCAGCTTTTTTCTCCAAAGTTATTTTCCGGCTGTGGGGAGGAAAACCCACAGCCGGAAAATGTTCTTCTTCAATGGTTTCCCCAGCCGGAAACCAAACTGATTTCCGGCTGGGGAAACCAGTGGCTCTGGTTTCCGCATCGGAAACCAGTGAATGGACGGTTTGATTCACCGGGAAGAGCTTTCGGTGCTCTGCGGCAGCCATGGACGGCGGAAGACGGAGGGTTTTGGAGCGGTTTCGGTTGGGAGTCAAAATGGAGTTTTGCTACAGAACATTGGATTATGTTACACGCACTGAAATTTTATATATTATCTTTTTATTGATTTGTAATCAAATTAATTAATTACTTTATATAGATTGTTACACTTATTAAAATTCAGGCCACTAAAGAACAGCTTTTTAGTGCTAAATGTGAATGGGAATAACTAAAATTAAATACAATCAAAATTTATGTTGCATAGAATTTGTAATAAAAATTGTTATATTCTACAAACAACAATAAAAATATATTTTTCGGTATATAATAATTAAAATGTTTAAGTATACCATTCTGTTCATTTTCTGGAAAATGAACCAAACACCAAAAGACAGTTTTCCATCATTTTCTGGAAAATGAACCAAACACCAAAAGACAGTTTTCCATTGTGCAGCCAAACACAGGAAAGGAAAATGACTTCTGGAAAATGGGTCATTTTCCAGAAGTCATTTTCCTGCTTTCCAAACGGACCCTTAGTTTCCTGTTTCTGATTTCTCTTTGCTTGAATGAACTGTGGTCAACTGGAGAGAGTTTGCTTCAGTCCTGTTTTCAGATGCCTCTTTTACCAGAGCTTGCTAAATATGATAAGCAAAATTGCTTGGTTTCTACTCTGTTTATTTCAAGTGTCATTATCTGCTTGTGTATTACTGATACTGAAATTTTGAATGTTTTATAGGGGATTAGTTCATTGCTACTCTTTACAGGAAGCATTTGTTGCTGACCAGCTATTCCAAAGCTTTGAAAATTCTTCAGATGATCTACTTTGGCTTTCTGATGCTGTATTAACATCTTCAAAGGTGGTATAGATATCCTCTTTATCTTGAGAGTACTTGCTCTTTGTCCATATTAACATTCTCTATGCATAGATCAGATTGGACTTAGCTCAACACGGAATTTTAGTTAAAGAGCAAAATAAATAAGATGCATTCTCACTCAATACATAGTCTGATATGCTGCACTGTCAGTTTGTCACCCCCACCTACGTATGTGATCTTAGTCTCATCAGAAAACAAATTGTACAATTCAGGTGCTAGCTTGTTTTGCATCTTGGCCTCATATCAATGTTCACCCAAGAGTTATTTCAAAACTTGATTATATTGTGAATGACCAATTGCTATAATAGTCTTTACTAGTCTGTGCAACTGATTCCAAGTTACTTCTACTGATTACTGTTGTGTGCCATTTGCTCTATATTAACTAAAGTTTCTTAACTTGTATTATTATTATTTTTTAAATTTTTTAAATTTTGTTTGCAGGATGAAATTGCTTCCTTTGTGTCTTATATCTTCCTGCGTAGGTTGCTTCTTCCAGGCATTCATCATAATACCATTCTAAGGGCAACCTTACGAGACTATAACAAGCACTTCACTGATTCTGAGTTTGATTCCTTGACTATTGATGGGCTAAAAAATGAAATCCTGTCACTTATTGAGCATGAGGTTTTTCTCTTTTATGCATATGCCTTTTTATACTAATGCATCTGTTTTTCTCTTGTTGGTTTCTTTTCTTTCTTTTTAAAGATTTCTTTTTGTTTTGTTTTGGTTGGGGAAAGGGAAGGTCGGATGAAGCCTTCAACTCAGCTAATTATACCTTTTTTGTGATAGGGTGGTGCTGAAAGTCCAGTTTCAATAGTTTATAGCTGGAAATCATTTTGTACACGCTATTTCAATAATTGGTGCCACTACAATGCAGCTTGTGCTTTGCTTGTTGATTCATCCACGGGAGCTATTGGCTTAATTAGGAAAAATACAATTTCTTTATGCCGCAGTTTGGAGAACATTGAGCTTCTCATTTTTGGTATGTTGGGAACAACTTTTTAGTTAGTATAATTTTTGCTGTGAATGTCTCCTATGCTAAGCATTCTATTGTTTATATAATCCAAGGTTCTTTTGATGAGTTTGGTAATGCTTCAAGCTCTGGGTTGAACTTCTCTGCTGATGATCTTGAAAGAGAAGTTCTCTTTGAGGTCCTGCAGTGCATTAGTAATCTCAGTCAACAGTTAGGCCGAGCTTCTTCAGCAATATATTATGAGGCACTCCTTAGAACACCAAACTTATCACCTGAAGATGTTACTGTTCGCTTGCTGAAGACTGTAGAATCTGGATATAGTCCATCAACAGCATATCTTCACTCAGAACTTGGAGCTGATGTGGCTCGGGATAAAGAAATATCTAACCACAGAAGTCTTAGGAAATTTTCTGTGAATATGTTTTTGTCCCTACACAATTTGTGCACAAGAGCTATTACATGGGGGAAAGTCCTTGATGTGATTGAGAGTTACTTGAAGTATCTTGTGCCTCTCAAAATTGTACAAGATTTCAATTCTCAAGCAGTGTTCAATATAAACACTGCTGTTACAGTGCAGGCTACTTCCCAAGTTGCTAAAGTGATGTTTGAATCTACACTAGATGTATATATGCTTCTAAGCTATATGCTTAGCACGAGTGGTAAGGTTAGTTTTCGTTCTATATTCATGAAAGTTTGATGAAGTATGATATTCATGATGATGATGTTTTTTCCTTTTAATTACAAAAGGACAGTTTTAAAGAATGAAATTACCCCCTTGCCCCCAAAAAAGAAAAAAAGAAAAAAAGAACCAACAGTATACTTCTATCGTTGGACTAACTTCCACCTGTAGCATTGCTGGCAATGAAACAATGGGACTTCTACATGTGACTTCTTTATGAATTTGTGTGTATTACAGTTTCTCAAGATGGAAGTGTTGTGGTTTTAAAATTTTTTAAAATCATTTTTCAAACAGCTGACCATAGTTAATGTAATGCTTAGGCTATGGTTTGCATTAGGAAATCTTTGTATATTGATCTGTCTTTGACTGATGACATGGATTTTTCTTTTTATTGATCATGACATTTTAAAGTAGTGTAAAATAAACTTGAAGTGCATGCTACAAACTGCTTGATGAATTTTATCTTGTAATTTAGGAACCTAAAGTGCATTCACTTGCAGATCCACTTGTCTCAGAATGATGTTTCAAGAATTAAACTTGAGCTCGTTCCTATGATCCAAGAGATGCTTACTGAATGGCATATCATCCACTTCTTTGCAACCACACCATCTGAATCTCCTGTCTTTGAAGATTTTAGCTCTCAACTTTCATCATTGCATCTTGGTATGATTCTGCTAACATTTTCCTGAGGAAGGTTACTTTTCACTATTGCTTTGTTATTAATGTGTTACTGAGAATGGCATGCTTTTTAACAGTAACATTGCCCTTCCTAGTACTTATCCTGGTTTTATAGGGCTTTGTGAAGTGAATAGTTCTCAGTCAGTTGTAACGGCTTAGCAATTGAATTTGAAAATGATATCAGCAGTTACTAAGATAATCCTCATGGATGCCATGTTTTGGAATAAAAATAGAACAGAACCATCTAATGGGAAAACCCAATACTAGCCTGTTTGATAAATGCAATATTAATCTCATTATTTTACTTTCAGGATGCAATCATGCAAGAAATGTTTATTTGGAGATATAACTACTACAATTTTTATTGTCTTGGTTTTACTCTTGATAGGGATAGTGATTGCTATTTCAATTTGTTTTGCTAACTGTAAAGATAACCACTTGAACTCCTGAAGAGAGAAAAAATAATAGGAAAATATTGTTTCTTTCTGGTATCTCCATCCTCTTTATTAGTGGATAAAGCTCATACTATTCTTGCTATGGGCAGATAGCAATGAACAGAGATCATGGAATGAGAAGCTTGGGAAATCTGATTTCACACTTGCTTTTCTCCTGCTGCTTAGCATCCAAGGTTCCTCAGAAGGCCAGAGCCATCTCTCTTTTAGATTTCTTCCAGATCCTGCAAGCATAACAAATTCTGTGCAGCAATTTACTAGCTGGATAATATGGGGTAGAAAAGACGAAGAATCTTCAGTTTTTTTGAGTCATTCTGTTGAGCTTGCTCTTATCTTGCTTAGACATGGCCAGTATGATGCTGTTGAGGTTTGTAGCCATGTTTTTAATCTTAATGTGAATGAACCTAATTTTTATGATGGTAGCTGAAACAAAATCTTGTTTCATCCAGTACATGCTCAATTTGGTAGAGTCGTATTTGCGGAAGGAAAAGACATCTGAAAGTCTTCAAAGTGTGAGTGGAGAGTGGTCCAAAATTCTCCATCTTCTTGGTTGTTCCCTTATTGCCCAAACACAGCGTGGTTTACATGGAATGCTGAAAGAGAGAAAGATTTGTGAAGCGGTGTGCTGCTTTTTTAGGTAATCATCTAACATATTCATCATAATCATCACCATCATCTTGCATTAGTATTATCTACATCCTCAGAACACTTGGACACTCGTAGGTATAGTTAAGTGCAACAGCATGGGCAGATATTTTTTGTGGTCAAAATTTTCTTTTGGCTGGGAATGTTTTGCTTTGGAAATCTGTCTTGCAAATTTACAGTTACATAGCATTCTGACTAGAAAGATAATTTGCATGTTTGACAAAGCTTATTTAATTAGACTATTGATTCAATAATTTATTTTGAACACGTTTGTATTTTGTAAAGTATATGGATTACAAATTGTAAAGCACCTTTTAGCTTCACTGGTTGTATGCATTAATTGTAATCCATAGAATTTGGGATTGAACGTGATTTAGGGGCTCTGTATGGCTATAGGAATCCCTGTAAATATTGGTCATATTGTATCTTCCTATTGTTAACACATATGCTGTGGGACAATTCTCTCACGCTTTATCAACATTGGTTCCTGTCTTTTATTCTGGTCTGCACAAGATTATTTAAACCTATAACCCATAAGCATTTGAATTGATTATTTGATTATTCACAAGCAATAATCATAAACCATAATCATGACCTGTTATCATAAACTTTACAAAACAGAGCCAGTGTGTAGAACCTCAGTAGATTGCTAATATCTTATTTGGAACAGTTCACACTTTGATATTATGCCTTATTTTACTGTTTCCTCGTTTGGATTGAAATTACATAATTGAAATATTATTATCTTTTTATTTATTTATTTTTTTAGAATTTTTGCATATAATGCACAAGTTCTTTATTTGAGAGATTCAAATTTCTCTGGATGCCTCAAGTGAAATTTTTGAAGTTCCTTTTTTTCTTTCTTCTGTTCATCTTTTCTTATATAGGCTACTGTTTTGGCTGATGTAGACTAATCCCCTCTTCTTTTGTATAATTCTGTTGACTAGTAAAACCTGTGGCATTGGAAAATTTGAAATGTAGCTGCCAATAAGATTATGTAAAAATATGATTAAATTGTTGACATGAGTATATGTGCAACCTTTTATCATCTTTTTAATGCTTTGATCTGTGTTTTATTTATTTATTGTACTACTTGCACTGAATGTGATTGTTAAGAGTCCCACATCGATAAAATATGAGAGAACATATGGGTTCATAAGGCCATGGGTTAGACTAGCTAATTGGTTGTATTCAATCTTTTAGTGTGGTTTGGCCCATGTGCATTATAGCCCAGTTGAGTGACTCAATCTTAAATTATAACATGGTATTAGAGTCGCCTAGGCGTCCGGTCGGTCGAGACCGAACGCCTAGTGTGCTCGCCTCGCCTAAGTGCAGAATACAACCCAAAACTCCACAAAACATACATGGGCAGAACCTACACACTAAGGCGAGTTGACCGGTGTAATTTCCAATCGGAGAAGTCGCCGGAATCTGCCTCACGCGCCGGCGCGTGGCGTCGGAGCAGCGGCACATCGGCGGCGCGGTTCGAGCTCCGGCGTCGTCTTCCTGTTCCGATCAAAGCCCACTACCTCACTTTGGCATGTTATCAATAAATACTAGACTTCTCACTACCTTAGGAAAAACTATTCATCTTCTCAAGACAACTTGAAGTAAATAGGGTTGCAAAAAGGTTGCCCAAGACAAGATATTTTCAATATACAATAAATATTATTCTCACTATTCTAGGAAAAACTATTCATCTACTTGAAGTAAATAGGTCAGCAAATAGGCTGCCCAAGACAAGATATTTTCGATATATATATACTTTTATTTATTTATTTAATACTCATCGCCTAGGCGGACGCCTAGTCGACTAGGCAGTCGGTGGCATCTCGCCTAGAAAGTCCGCCTTGATAACTATGGGTATTGGTGGCATCCAAGCTTTTGTAAGCCCGCTTGTTCGGTCCACTTTGGTGGCGTCCAGAGCTTTCGTTTCAGGGGAGGATTTGGTCCAATTTCAAGTGGTCAACCGGTTAGATTCAAAATGGCTCGGTTGTCCACTTGAGGGGGAGTGTTAAGAGTTCCACATTGATAAAATATGAGAGAACATATGAGTTCATAAGGACATGAGTTAGACTAACTAATTTGTTGGATTCAATCTTTTACTGTGGTTTGGCCCATGTGCATTATAGCCCAGTTGAGTGACCCTGGCCCAATCTTAAATTATAACAGTGATGAATCCAGATAATAATATTATATTGTCTCTCTCAAAAGAAGATGAGAACTAAGGGAGAGACCATTTTCTTTCGTAAGCATGCTTAGTGTTTTGAAGCTTATTTTCCCATCTGTGTTTTCCTTGATCTTTGTGCAATTATTGGTTTAAAAAATAACTTTTTTGCTAGAACTCCCTTGAAGTGTTAAAGTTCTAACTTTTGTGTTCAGAGCTGCATCTGCTCAAGGAGCATCAAAGGCTTTGCAAAGTTTGCCATATGAAGCTGGATGGCTGCATCTTGGTTTAAGTACGTTAATCTAATGTTCTTGCAATGTCATATGAGAAGTTCTAATTATTAAACAATAATCTTACCTTGTTAAATGTTATTTTACATCTAGTTCACAGTACCTCGACTCCTTCATTCAAGCTTCACTACTATCAATGGGCAATGCAGATCTTTGAGCAATATAGTATGAGCCAGGCTGCTTGCCAATTTGCACTTGCTGCACTTGAGCTAGTTGATGAATCTCTTGGTCCTAAAGATGGTGACTTAAGGGTTGATCCTGTTGATGAATCACCATCTGCTGTTAAGGGACGACTTTGGGCAAATGTGTTCAAGTTTACTCTAGATCTTAACTTGTATTATGATGCATACTGTGCAATAATCTCAAATCCAGACGAGGAAAGCAAAAACATATGTTTGAGGCGTTTTGTTATTGTTCTATATGAGCGTGGAGCAGTAAAGGTGTAGTTTCATTTTCTTTTTATTCCCCTGCCTTAATGACTGTGTCCTCCACTCCTCCCTCTTCTCTCTCTCTTCTTCTTGTGCATCTCTGCAATTATATATTAATGGATATGAGACGGTAAATTATTTTGGCAGAAAAGTGTTCATTGTGCTGTATTTTAACACTGATGCTGTTGGTAACATACTATTTTCAGTTGTCACTATGAGATATTGGAATGATGATTGCTCTGAATTGTTATTCCAAAACTTGGAAGGAACCCTAGGAAGAGCAGCCTGTCTGAAATGCTCAGTTAAATGGATATGGAAACTTCTTGCTGTGTGCTTATTAATATTCAGAAAAATTCTTTGTTGTAATCTTCCCAATTACTTATACTTCTTTTAGTCATCAATTCTCTTTGAACACTAACGGTCATTTAAGGATATACATATACTTTATGCTTTTGAAACCTTCCCGTCCTATCCCCAAGCCAAAAAACCAAAGAAAAGAAAAAGTGAAGAAGATCAGTGTTTGGTTATTAAGTTATTTTATATGTGTGTTAGGTGTGCTCTAAAAATATTGACCAAATTACTCATACTCATGCTCTGCATTTATTTTGTTCCAGATTCTTTGTAATGGACAACTACCTTTTATTGGCTTAACAGATAAGGTGGAAAGAGAGCTTGCTTGGAAGGTTTGTGACTTATATTTAAAATGGATAAAATGCTTTGATCTTATGCAAGTATGATGCAGTGTTCCTACTTTCCATCTGCAGGCTGAGCGTTCAGATGTTTCAACCAAACCAAACCCATTTAGATTGCTCTATGCATTTGAGATGCAGAGACATAATTGGCGCAAAGCAGCAAGTTATATTTACTTGTATTCTTCTCAATTGAGAACTGTAGCAGACATCAAAGATCACCAGCGGCGTTCCCTGCTTCTGCAGGAGAGGCTGAATGGGCTTGCTGCTTCTATTAATGCTCTGCAACTTGTTCATCCTACCCATGCTTGGATTGATGGTCCGCATGATGACAGTTCTCCTGATAAAGATACCTCTCCAAGTAAAAAGGCTAGGATAGCTGTGGAAGGCAATTGTAAATTAAAGCTTCAACATTAAAATTATTTTTTACAACATATCTTGCATTTTTTTTTCCTATTGAGTAATATCTTCTTTTTTCTACTCCTATTTCGAACTCGATGGTTATTAAATAATTGCATTTTTATTTTTTACTTATATATATTTTTCTCCCATTTAGCTGCTGGTGATGGTTCTCCAACTCGAAGGTCCTACATAGATGTTCAGAAGCTTGAGAATGAGTTCATTTTGACATCAGCTGAATATTTGCTCTCACTGGCAAATATTAAGTGGACTTTTGCAGGTATTTTCCATTTTAGCAATGTATCTCAGTATCTACTAGTACTTCTGCAAGTAAATCTGAATCTGGAAAACATTGGATTTCATAAACTTGTTAGAGTTCTTTAGTGCATTCATAAATGATAGTTAATTTTTAGCAGCACCATTTTGTGCATTATCAAAATCCTCCTTTTGCATATGAAGAAAATTAATTATAAAAGGAACATATTTGGCGATACAGGTCTTAAATTCATCTGCCTACATGTCTAATATCTGAACTTTAAAATATTGTACATCTGCATGGCTTTCTAAAATATTAAATTTGCCAATTCTTTCTTTTTGTTCTTGGAGGTACTGAGAAGCCTCCACCAGATATAGTTGACCTGTTGGTCGAGTCAAATCTGTATGATATGGCTTTTACAGTAATTCAAAAATTCTGGAAGGGTTCAGCTTTGAAGAGGTAAATTAGTATTTCAGGTTTTCTCAGTAAAGAGTGGTAAAGAAGTTGTACTTCCTATATTTGTCATCTTTCAAATTCAATGTTCTGTGTTTTCCAGGGAACTTGAAAAGGTCTTTGCCACAATGGCATTAAAATGCTGCCCAAGCAGACTACACCCCTCATCGATTGGGTGAGATATTGCAAATATCTTTTTCTTTTCTTTTGATTTGCTTTTAATTATAAAAAATAAGTGTAAGTATTTTTTTTCATCAGTTTTTTTATGAGTCTTGTAAGTAAATCTATTTTGAATTCTCAGGAATGAGTATAGAATGAAGAACCTTCTTTTGATGACATCACATGATGAGATCATTGCCAATGGTTCACCTGATGCAGCTCCAATACCACAACAATCCAATGGCAATGGCCAGTGGGAAACTCTTGAGCTCTATCTTGTCAGTATATTGTTCATCCTTTTGGCTATCACTTACAATATTGTTTTACCTCTAAAATTCTATGCTTTTAACTTTGGTCATAATTTGCTTGCACTTATAGCCTTCAATGCTTTGATCTTCTGTTTGTAGAACTGCACAGGCAGTAATTTGAGCTATTTCACCCACCCCTCAACCCCCCTCTCCCTTGATGGGATTTCTATAAGGTGGTTTTAACAAAACACCAGTTACTCATTTTTATGATGTTGAGAAAGGTGGAATTGATAAATTTCCTTGTTTTCTAGTTTGAATTATGGGGGTTTTGACATCAGCATGACTAGGGCAAGCATATTTTTCTATATAATAGCAACTAAAGCTGTCTTACATACTATTATTATGTTTGTATTGCCTTGCAGGATAAATATGAAGGTTTTCATGCCAGATTACCTGTTGTGGTTGCAGAAACTCTTCTTGCAGCTGATCCTCAGATTGAGTTACCCCTTTGGTTGGTTCAAATGTTCAAGGTAAATATTCTCTTTACCTAAGAGACATTAAACAATATGGTTGAGACCCTGACTTGTGCATCTAGGATGGCTTTTCATGTTGCTTTCTAAATATGTCAGGGTGGGAATTGCTTTAGTTACTGCATAAATCTCAAAGGCATTTATTTTTATTACCTCATCATCACCAATTTATAACTATGATCACTAGTAGAGTGTTTGTAATTAATTTTCCAACTTCATAACTAATGTTTCGTATGTGTGCCATAGAGTGTTCAACGAGAAAGTAGTTGGGGAATGGCTGGCAGCGAGTCAAACCCAGCATCTTTGTTTCGACTATATGTTGATTATGGACGATTCACCGAAGCAACTAATTTACTTCTGGAGTACATTGAATCTTTTGCATGTCTGGTATGTTTTTTTTTTCCTCATGAAATCTGATAGCCCTGTGATATATCTACATTACTTTTTTTTTTTTTTTTACATATCTGTTGCTTACTAGAATGATATTTCTGTCTTTGCATTTGTCCACTAATGAATGTTTAGGTCAAAGCAACACATCAGTTTGTGAACTTGTATAAACTCTCGTGTTTCCCCCCCATAATGAACAATGATACTGAGTACAGCTGTCAAATGTCATTCCTTTCTATCTTCTCTTTTTAGCAACTGAATGTGCAAAGGGGCAGAGAGTCATTGTATTCTTTTGTTGGTTTTAGTCTGGTGAAAATGATGGCTGGTTTGACAATGACATAGGGGGAAGGTTAGAGGCTGATGTGGGAAAATCCTGACTGTGCGAGGTGTTAAGGAGACTACAAATAATTCCTTGTAAATAATAGGGGATTATGATTCACAATTTAATAAGGGCACAAAAATTTAATGGAATAGAGCTATAATTCTGCCCCTAGTTTTCAAGCCACTATACCTTTAATATAATTGGACTGCTAGATACTTTGTATTAAATATCCATAATCTTTCTATTTTCACCATATGCAGAGACCAGTGGACATAATTCGTCGTAAAAGATCATCAGCAGTTTGGTTTCCTTATACTCTTATTGAGCGATTGTGGTGCCAGCTCGAGCAGTCTATCCGATTGGGTCACATGGTTGACCAAAGTGAAAAGCTGAAAAAGATGCTGCATACAGCTCTGCAGAACCATCTAAATCTTGTATGCTTGTTTTGTGCCAATATTTACTCAATATCAGGATACATTTTGCCAACGTGTAGGGTCCTTAGCATGCGTTTCTTGTTTTCAGGTTAAAGTGGATTCAGATGATGTGCTGTCTTCTGCAGCCTAGTATGATCCTGCATCTTTGTCCTTGTTAGCCTATGAACGATGGGACTGCATTCTTCATATTATAGGATGCTCCACTTCACTATTGTAGCGGGCATGGCCTGGTGGAAGATGAAATCTGTGTTGTAGCCAATGCTCCCTGCTATACCCACTTCTCCCTTCAGAGAGCAAGACGTTTGGGCATTAACCTTCTAACAAGGTAAATATGTCTACTGACTGAAAACCCCATGCTATCCTCACCCCTTGATAGAAAGATTCACCTAGTTGCATGTATATGAAAAATTGTCTAAATTGTGTTTTTGGGTACACAGCTTGTAATTTTTGACTGATGGAAAATCTGGATTCACATGAAATCCAGGTGATCTTAAATGTATTAGATCGCTGCGCAATTTAGTTGAGTAATTTTGAAATTATTATTACAAAACATCACCCCATTTGCCATTTCTTGTTACAACTTTGTTTGCTTAGCCGTCTAGTCTAGTCAAGTAAAAGATATACTTCCTTTTATTTGGTGGTTGTCCGGTGATGATAGCTGTTAGCTGCCATATATTCATCTTTTTCTAAAGAGTGTCTTTTGGATCATATGTTTCATTACAGAATTTAATTTCCATTAAAACTGTGTTATTTGTATCAAGTTTTACACTTTTACTCTTATATTCATTAATTATCATTGCTTACATGTCAAACGAATACGGAACAAATGTTATGAGAATGAACTTTCATTTGTTTTTTTGGGTTGATGAGGGAATCTTGCATCCACTACCCGAGGGTATGTACTGGGTAAATCTTGCCTTGCGATTCTAGTCGGTAAAGGACTACAAAGAGGTAAATTAGCTTAGGTTGTCCATAGTTGTCTGGTTCAAATTAAGAAGGTTAGAATTTGAACTCGTAACCTTGTGATTACAAGTCTATATCTTTAGCCAGTTGGGATTGGGTTACTCCCGAATTTTTATTTGTTACGTGTATGAATGAAAGTGTAGTTGAGCAAAGGAAAGTGCACAAACGACACAAAAGAGGTTGCGTACAACCGCATAATGCATAAAGATGCTATCTTTTCTTTTTTACTTTTAACAATGCTCTCTTTTGTACTCACTCATTTGCCTAATAAACAGATTCTTTATTTACATGGGACATAAGTGAACAAATCATAGTAAAGCTAGATAAAGCATTATTACATCTTATCCTGGGCCTGGGAGAATTCATTTCACAAGTTAAACGATTTCTACTTTATAAAGTAACAAATGAGGCCAACGGTAATATCTTTTTTTTGTTTTGTTTTTTTTTTTTTTGGGTGTTTTTTCTAACTCAAATCATCAAATGCCGCTAAAGGTAATATGAATAAGGGTCAAATAGGCCATCGAATTGCACACGATACAACAATTAGGCCACTGAACCTAAAAAACCAACAATTAGGTCCTTAAATTAATCAATTTCAAACAATTCTTTTAATTTAAAAGTTTTCAACAGGTCATCTCCCAAATTAATTATTTTTTTAAAAAATAATTTTAAAAATTAATTATTTTTAAATTAAATTAAAAAAAAAAAACTGAAATCCAGCCGGAGACGACCGTCTTCGGTCGGTTTCTTCGTCTCCACTGCCGGAGATGAAGAGTTTCTTCGTCTCCGGCCATGGAGATGAAGAGTTGCTTCGTCTCCAGCCATGGAGAACGAAACCTTCTTCGCCTCCATGGCCGGAGACGAAGAAACCGGCCGGAACCATTTTTTTTTTTAATAATTAATTTTTAAAATTTAAATTTTAAAAAATAATTAATTTGGAAGTATGACCTGTTGACTTGTTGGAAACCTTCAAATTGGAAGAATTGTTTGAAATGGATTAGTTTAGGGACCTAATTGTTGGTTTTTTAAGTTCAGTGGCCTAATTGTTTTATCGTGTGCAGTTCGATGACTTATTTGACCCTTATTCCAAGGTAAAATATTTATCAAATAAAATGTGTGTTCAGTTCATTAGGTCGATGTACAACCGAAAAATTGACAAGTTTTTTTTTTTTTTTTTTTTTTTTTTTTTTTTTTTTTTTGAAAAATTGACAAGTTAAAAGGCATGAATGTGCAAGTGCAAGCAAGCTTCTAGTCTTAAACCCAAAAATATGTACGGAGGAATATAAAAGTAAAAATGACAAGGTAGTACACTAGTACTACCATATTTGAGTTGTTAACAAAGGCTTGTACTTGGGAATTTCTCTCGAGGCATATTTGATTTTGAGGGACTCAAAGTTTTTTTATATGGGGTTTTGTTTAATAGTTATGTCATTTTTTTTTTGTTTATTACGGAGTATAATTCTTCGGTTTAATCCAAACTAGTTATACAGTTCTGGATAAAGTACTATTTGAAGAGCTAAAACTGTCATATATACTTTTTATAATATTTTATTTTACTTTAAACCTTTTCTTAGAAAAAAAAAAAAGAAGAAGAATGAAACCATTGCAAATAACATAAATAATTCCCCTACTCCCTTAGGGTTGGGGTTCAACCTTTTGAAAAAATAATTCCCTTACAAATTTCTAAACGCTCAAAATTTCTACTAAATATAATAAGAGCCCATGATGGTCGGGTGGTCAACCTAGAAGTTGTCGGTCGATCCACAATCGAAGAACTAATCGGATTACTTGCCCTCCACTACTGAAAATTATGAAATTTCCGACCACCTGAAAGTGATCTTAAATCAAGTCAAAAGCCTTATTCCGACCACTTTTGGTATCCGGAAAAACCTTTGTTGCTATTTCCGACCACTTTTTGGTATCAACTTGATTAAAAATCACTTTCAGGTGGTCGGAAATTCCATAATTTTCAGTAGTGCTCACTAATGATAGTGTATGGAGGACTATTGGAGAGTCTTGGGACTATACATGGAGACCACGGGTGGCGAGATATGGAGATCTTAAGCAAGTCTTGTCTAAATGAGATTTTGGAAACTTGTTACTTAGTCTAAATTGCTTTTTTATTCATATTTTAGGAAGTTTCTAGTTCATTTTTGGTAGGCTTGACTTTAGGAATTCATTTTCCTTTTTGTAGAAGACTACGAGTAATCCTCATATATAAATACCCCCTCCCGGGGTATAAAACGAATCCTAATTTTCATGGAACTTAGGGCAAATTATGTAGTATTATTGTTCTAAGTCTCTTAGTGTTCTATTACTTAACTAGTAATTGTCCAGTGCGATGTACAGACTATTATTAATTTGACAAATTTATCAATTAAATTTTTGACATACTCTAAATTAGCAAATAAATTAATGGCTGTGGAAACAGAAAAACTTACCTGAGTTCTTCCGCTCCTAGAAATATTCATCTTCCGCAGATCGCACGGTATAAAGCTCTATAGGAGATCTAAGCTCCCAAAAATATTATTCTCCCTATTCTAGTCATGATCATCCTCCTCATTCCAACCACGACAAAAACATAATTGTAGTATTATATTGGTTGTGGATGATGACTTATTTATAATGTTGAAGTAGGTGTAGATGTTCATGTAAATATTGAAACATGTGATTATTGAAATTTGTAAGAATGTTTTATTTATTGCAGTAAATGTGAACACAGTTAATGTATTCATACTTTGCTAATGTCATTTGCAATTGGTGTGGAGATAGTAAATGCTTAGGCTGTCCTTATCCCTGCAAACATCTCCCACTCTAAAAAATGGATCTCACTTCCACATCATCTTATTTGCAAATCATCTCCTATTCACACTACATCCCTACAAATCTCTCTCACTCTAAAAAATGGGTCCCACTTTTATTTTATATTATATATATATAAATAAAAAAAATTAAAAAAAAATAAAGAAAGTACAGATTTGCAGGCAGCATGGCTGCCTTGCAATACTAAAGTACAAAGAAGGCTGCCATTCGGCAGCCTTCTTTGTACTTTGCAAACTTGCAAAAGATGCAAGTTTGCATTACACATCATATAACAAAAAAAAAAAAATAATTTCATGTGGCATGCCAAATAAGATTGTAAATGGGTACACTTGCAGGGGTAAGTTCAGCCTTATACGGGCATCCTCAATAGAGCAAGTATTAGCACAAGTCCCCCAAACATCACTATGTATAATTTCAAAATAAGTATTAGCACAAGTCCCATATGTAGGAAAAGGTAACACTTTACTTTTTCCTAGTTTACAAACAGAGCAATCAAGACTACTAGAAGAGCACTGATTTTTTATGCCAAGAAAATCATGTTTCATCAAATGAGATAATATCACATAATTTGGATGACCCAATCGTTTGTGCAAAATATCAGCCTTATTTTCAATAACAATAGACGACAAAGACAAAGTTCTAGGAATAAATTGCAATGAAAATAATCTGCCCACTTTAGGCCCCCTCGCGATCACCTTCCCCGACCCCTGATCCTGCACAAGACAACCATGACGAGAGAAATTTACATTACAGTTATTATCCACCAACTGCCCACCGGAGATTAAACCAGTAGACAATCCCAGAGAGACAAATACATGACGAAAGGAAGGTCCAATATCACCAATGGTGGTAATTGGAAGATTACTTCCATTTGCAATCTGAATTTGTTGTTACCAGTATACTTTCGAAGATTATGCAGCCAATCAGGTGATCCAGTCATATAATTTGATGCCCCGGAATCAACAAACCAAGGGTAAGAAACAATCTTACCTTGACCATGAAGTCCAAGAGTAGAGAATGCTGTGATGATCATCTGTTGGACCATTTATGGAGTAGCAAAAGACGGATTTGTGCCAACAATCGTGGCTGGAGAACTGATATTGGTAGGGTCTGAGATAACAGCCTGAAAAGCTTGGCCACGTCGATTTTCTGGGCGTGTAGGACATTGCTTGATAATGTGTCCATTCTGTTTACAATAATTGCAGAATTTCTTACCACAATTGCGGGCAATATGCTGGAACTCCTTGCAACTATAACACTGCATTTGTCCCTTCCCTAGGTCCTTCCCTTGAGCCGCATAAGCAACATTAACAACCCCAGAAGTCTCCTTGGACGAACCTAGAACAACTTGTGCAGCCATTCTTTGTTCTTCACACAATAATTCACCAAGACATATATCCAAGGAAGGGACAGGAGATCTATTCAGCAATCCACCCCGAGCAACTTCAAATTATGGCCTCAGTTTCATAAAAAACTAAGCACATTGACTATCTTTATGAACATCCTGAAGGCTGGCTAAGGCCTCTTTAGATACCTTTGAGTAAATAATACTAGAGTATTCGCTCCATAGATTAATAAATTCAGAATAATACTGCTCAATAGAGAGATTACATTGACTGAAGTTACTTATCTCAAGTTCGAGTTGAAATCGTCTTGTAGTGTTACCTTGATGATAGATGCGCTGCAAATGATCAGGTGCGGGCTTCCCGTGCGGTTGGTCGCATTAAGCATTAACTAACACACTTTAAGTACACAACACACACACATTAAGCACACAAATAAAACACATTCAGAACACAAACCCACACACGTTAAGCACAAAACTCACGCATGTTAAGCACAAGCCTCATGCACCTTAAGCACAAAACTCACGCACCTTAAGCACAAAACACACACACCTTTTAAGTTTCAACAACTACTCACATTAAGCACGATGAGAGTGTATGTAAAAGTGTTGTATTCGATAATAATAATTGAGAGTACAGAATATGAATATAAAGACACAAAGTAGAGTTCTAGTCTAATACGAATAATATAGTCCTAATACTCTTCCTCAAGCACAAGGTTGGCTAACCAAAAAATTGAGCTTGTCACGGAGAGAATTAAAACGAAAAGACGAAAGAACAAAGTGATAGTCAATCTCAATATGCTTCGTGCGAGCATGAAACATTGGATTGACACATAAGTAAGTAGGCCCCAAATTGTCACACCATAATCGAGGCGGAGACGTGGGAGGAATACCAATCTCGTTCAACAGGGAAACGAGCCAAGTCACTTCCGCAGATACATCAGCCAGTCCCTTGTACTCTGTCTCAGCTGAAGAACGTGTCACAGTTCATTGCTTTCGACACACCCAAAATATAAGATTGTTGCCCAAAAATACAGCGAAGCCACTAGTAGACTTGCGATCATCCGGATCGTCATCCCAATCCGAATCAGAATAAGCATGGATATCAACAGAGGAAGACCGAGAAATGCGAAGGCTGAGATTCAGAGTGCTCTTGACATACCTCAGAACTCGTTTTAGAGAAGCCCAGTCCGCAGTGGTGGGAGCATGCATGTGCTGACACAGAAGATAAACATCATAAGATAAATTAGGTCGAGTTACCGTAAGATATTGAAGAGTACCTACAAGACTTCTGTATTGTGTGGGATCGGCATATGGGACTACAGGATCGGCGGTAGCTTTCGCAGATGATACCGGCGTGGTTACTGGCTTACACTCCACCATACCAGCACGTTTGAGAATATCCTTCATGTATCGCTGTTGTGACAAGAGCATACCACCAGATAACGGGACAGTTTCAATACTCAAAAAGAAAGAAGGCACACCCATATCACGAACCTTAAACTCAAGTGCTAATTTATCAATAAGAGCAGTAACACGATCCACATATACCAAGAAATAAAGACAAATGTTGTCACGTAAATAAATGAAAAGAGACACATCCGTCTTTGAAGGCGAGAAGCCCACAGAGACAAGAAAATCATGCAACCGTGTGAACCAGGCACACGGTGCCTGTTTAAGACCGTACAAAGATTTCTGGAGTAGACACACATGATCAGTCAATGACTTGTCCTCATAACTAGGTAGCTGACGCATGTAAACAGTCTTAGCTAGCTTACCATTCAAAAAGGCGTTGTGAATATCCAACTGGCGTATGGTCCACCCACGTGACAGCGCTAAGGAAAGAAGAATGCGTACCGTAGTCGGTTTAACCACAGGACTGAAAGTTTCAAAAAAGTCTTCCCCACCGACTTGATTAAAACCTTTTGCAACCAGTCAAGCTTTATAACGCTCAACGGAACCATCGGCCTTTCTCTTGGTTCTGAAAACCCACTTACAACCAACGAAATTCATGCCTGGATGAAACGGAACAAGCCGTCATGTATTATTGTGTAGCAAGGCATTAAATTTCAAGTCCATTGCATCACTCCACTCAGGGAACTTGACCGTTTGAGAGTAACAAGTAGGCTCAGCCGCAACTGTAGTGGCCAGCGCGACATACTCATAAGGCCCCATACTTCACGTGGCTATGACGTGCGATCGAGGTCGCGAAGCCGCCCGACGACTACGACCATGGGGCCGTCCCCACTGTCGGACTGCCTGGTCCGAGACAGTCCGCTCAGTGGATGCGGACTGTTCGGGCGAAGCAGCTGGAGCGGGATCACCGTCGACAGTGCGGTCGGCGTCCTGGATGGCAGCAGCCGGGCTCGGATCAGTCACCACGGGCGCAATCGCCCACAGTTTCGGAGAAGATGTAGTAACCTACGGCACAACACGAGCAACAAATGGAAAAATAGTCTCATCGAACCGCACGTGGAGACAGATAAAGACCTTGTTAGTGTTAGTGTGCAAACAACGATAGCTACGAAAAGACAGAGGGTAACCCAGAAAGACACAAGGAGAGAAACGAAACTTGAGTTTATTATGATTTTATGGACGCAAGACAGGAAATCATAAGCACCCAAACACTCGCAATCAAGAATAGGATGGGGGAGACCTATGCAAACGAAGTGAGGAGACTCATCAGACAAGACACGAGTAGGCATCTTATTTATCAAATAGACAGCGGTTTCAAACGCGTAATCCCAAAAACGAGATGGGACAGACGCTTGAGCCATTAAAGACAGTCATGTCTCAACAACATGGCGATGCCTACGTTCTACTCGACCATTCTGCTCGTGAGTATACGCATAAGATTGTCTGTGACGAATACCCAACGAAGCAAGAGTGACGCCAAGATTTTTATACTTTCACCCTAAATCAGACTGAAACGAAATAATCTTCCGAGAAAAAGAACGTTCAACAAGTGACCGAAACTTATCAAATATGGCATATAATTCAGACTTAGCACGCATTGGAAGATACCACATATAACGAGTGTAATCATCCACAAACAACACAAAATATTTAAAGTCATTTGCAGAAAGTAATGGCGCAGGGCCCCAAATATCTGAATATATTAATTTCAAAGGATGCGTACTAGTAGTCTCAACACGAGACAAAGAAAAACGAGAAGATTTTTCCAATTGACAAGACGAACATATATTGGGAAGATCACTATAATTAAATTTGCTAACAGACGAAGACGCTAGAATTTTACATAAGACTATAGAATGAGGATACCCTAACCACATGTGCCAAACGTAAGAGGATAGCGCAGCAACAAACGCAGCATGAGCTGAAGAAGACGCATGCCATGTGTAGAGACCTCCAGACGCATGTCCCTTAAAAAGAACCTTCTTGGTCAAAATGTCCTTCACATCGAAACAAACGGGGTGAAACTCAAAGGAAACATTATTATCCTTCGCAAAATGCTGGACAGATAATAGAGAAGAAGAGAAACCAGGGATATGTAAAACATAATGTAATTTAAACGACCTAGAATCAATAGCTAACGAAGTGGAACCAACATTAACAATGGGCAAACTTGTACCACTGCCGACTCGTAGAGTCTCCGGGCCATCATAATTTGTCGCAGAAGTTATCAAGAACGAATTAGGCGTAGCATGATTCGTAGCACCAGTGTCAGGAAACTACTCATGAGGACTGCTGGAATCACCATTATCACTAGAGACGGCCACATTCGCCTGAGGAGGCGGGGGGGGGGGGGGGGGGGGAGGGGTCGAGAAACGATGTCAACACGAAAGAGCACTGTGACCCTGCTTGTTGCAAATCTGGCACCGCGGACCCGAGTTCGAGCCGCGACCTCGACCACGGTCGCGTCTGTGACCGCCCGAGCCTCGACCTCGCTGCTGCGTCACGCCGCCATGACCAGCAGCTGCACCGCCTCTACCCGCGGTTATCGCGACCGTCGTTATACCGCCGACTCCATCGTCAGCACAGATCCATTCCTGTGACACCAAGAAATCCGCCACTTTGGCAAGCGGAACCGGAGCACCCCGAGCCAAGGTCGCCACAAGTGGACGAAATTCAGACCGCAAGCCACGAAATACGTATAAATTCTGATCGTCTAACGTAACGTCGCGACCGCAAGAGCCAAATCATCAACCAACAACTGGGCACGACTGATGTAGTCCGCTATAGAAGAGTCACCTTGACGTAAAGCCTACAACTCACCGAGTAATCGCAACGCCCGAGATCTCGAAGAAGAAGTGAGGGATTGTTCGATGGTGAGCCAGAGTTGTCGCGAAGTGGAACGACCAACGGCAAACCGCATCGTCTCCTCCGAGAGAGACGGAATTAAAAGCGATAATATAGCTTTGTCTTGCCTCCTCCAAGCCGTCTGCCGTGCCAAGCTATCGGCAGTCGAGGCGACGGCGTCGGCAGCGGCAGCTGGCGATGCGACCGGATACGGCACACTGCCATCGATGAAGCCGAGAAGACCTTGACCCTCTAAGAACGGTATCATCTATGTGCGCCAAAACATATAGTTACGGGAGGTGAGTTTCAGAGAGACAAAGTGATGAGCCGATGAGAAGTTGTTCCGGGTGGGCACATGAGAAGTCTCGGTAACGGTCCGTTCAGAAGATCGAACAGAGCCATCATCATGAAGACCGAGACCTTCCATGGGAGAAAACCTGGAAACTGATACCAGATGAGAGTGTATGTAAAAGTGTTGTATTCGATAATAATAACTGAGAGTATAGAATACGAATATAAAGACACAAAGTAGAGTTCCAGTCTAATACGAATAATATAGTCCTAATAAGCACAAATCCACGCACGTTAAGCACAAAACTCACACATGTTAAGAACAAAACTCACGCACAGTAAGCTCAAAACTCACGCACTTAAGTACAAAACTCACGCACTTAAGTTTCAACAGCAGCTCACATTAAGCACAACCCCACGCACTTTAAGCACAAAACTCACGCACCTTAAGCACAAGACTCACGCACCTGAAATACAAAACTGACGCACGTTAAAACCGCACAAGCGCACGGGAAACACTTAAGAGCATTCAGGTGCGAATGGCTTGCCCAGGAAAGAAATGAGAATGCATGCCATCCGTCCACGTGTCCAGATTTAATGGATGAGAAACACTGATTTAAAAAGAAATGCGGTGACATTTTCATAAATAATTGAACATCGAAGTGCAAGTAAAATGTATTACACGTGCAAGTAGCAGTTTCATATAGTGCACCTAAGTGCAAGTAAAATGTATTACAAGTGAATGTAAAATGTATTATAGGTGCAAGTAATATTTACACTGAGCATCAATACTAAGTACACATGACGTTATAACTAGGTGCACCTATAGTTATAAGTAGTTGCACTTAGGTGTATGAATGTTTGCGGATGGTTTTCACGGGTACTAAGTACCTGCTGAACTCCCCGCAAGAACAAAAGCGATGCCAAACAGAACGAACTCAGATCAATGAATGTTAACAAGGCAAAATTACATGCACTTGTAGGTGAAAGTAGATGCACTTGTAAGTGATTTTACCTGCACTTTTTACTTGCAAAGGTGCATCAACTACTTGCACATATAACACATTTACATGCACCAAAGTGATTTTACCTCTCTCTATATATATATATATATATATATATATATATATATATATATATATATATATATATATATATATATACTAGAGATAAAATGCGAAGGAAGTCTCCAGGTAAAACATACGGATTAATCATAGCCATTGATCTTGCCAAAATAAACCGCTCAAAATAAACACAAATTAAAAAAAAATGCGGAAGCATTACAGTAATTTTTGTGTATTGTTGAAAGGTTAAGGTGCATCATTTTAACACTTAAGGTGCATAAGTTCTACACTTAAGGTGCGTCATTTTAACACTGAAGGTGCGCCATTTTAACATTTAAGGTGTGTCATTTTAACACTTAAGATGCGTTAAGGTGTGTTAAGGTGCATCAGTTCAACAATGGTATGAGTAGAATGCATCCAATTCCCAAGAAGCATTTTTTTTAACAAAAAAATCATTGATCTGAACCGTTGATCTAGATTTGATCAACGACTCAAATAACACCCCATGTTTCACTTGAAAGACTCTTCGGAACCACTATATATATATATATGTGTGTGTGTGTGTGTGAGAGAGAGAGAGAGATCATGATAAAATGTGAACTAGGCTTCTCGTGATAAGTCTGGACTAGTTTGATCCATCCATCTAAGATGATCAATGGCTAAAAGCTGACAATGCCAATTTTATAAATATTAGTATAAGGGAATCAACTTAGATATTCTATGCATCTATTTCTTTAATGTAACAAAACTAATTAGACCAAATATGTTTTTTTTTTTTTTTTTTTTGCAAACTAGCACCAGTAACCCAATTGCACATGAGACACTACCAACAAAAAAGAAGCGGACAAGCAATGAAGACGAAGACAATGGGAAACCTATCCAAAAGTGAATTAACAAAACTTCGAGTAATTCCAACCAAAAGTAATATTTACTATCTAATACCATACCAACTACAAGAAGTATTTAGATAATTGTTTTTAGAAAAGTGCAAACTGAACATTAATTTTAATCCCAACTATAATGAACTTCTCCTATATAATCTTTCATTAATATATTTTGAATTAGTTATTTAAATACAAACATTGGGTATTAAATCAGTCGCACAATGCGCGTGTAAAACTAATTATTATTATAACAATT